ATTCACATTGGCGAGCTGGTCTCCGGAGAGCCCCGTGCCGAGGAAGGCGTCCAGCTTCTTCAGTTCGCCCGTGATGTCCGCTTTGAGGTCCTCGTAGAAGACGAAGTGCAGGTTGGGGTGGTCGCGGCGCTGCCATGCCTCCTTCAGGTGCAGCCAGTACGGCCCGTACACCACTGGGGGCAGAGGAATATCAAGAGGGTGATTAAAAGGAGAGAGAGAGAGAGAGAGAGAGAGAGAGAGAGCAGGGAGGAGAGGAGAGAGAGAGAGAGAGAGGAGAGAGGAGAGGAGAGAGAGAGGAGAGAGAGAGGAGAGAGAGAGAGTAGGAAGAGAGAGGATGAGATGATGAGCGAGCGATGAAGAGAGAAGAAGAGAGAGAGAGAGACGAGAGATCGACGTATGAGAGAGAGAGAGAAGGAGGAGAGAGGGAGAGAGACGAGGATGAGAGGAAGATGACGAGAGAGAGAGCCGGACAGACGCACGGAACCCAGCGCCGTGCCAAGCCGTACGACTACGGCTTGGAGCGCCAGGCGTAAGGACGACAGCAGCGCTTACAGCGAGCACTCACATCCGATGCGGCGCACCGCCGGACGGTAGTGGCGTGAGTATGCACCCCCTCGGCCACTGACCGCCACAGCCTTCTCTGCGGCCGTCATCTACGCCGCTCCCGACTGAAGACCATACACCCGCCCCACAACACCGCCACGAGGGGCCGCCGCCCCGCCAACACGCACGCGGCACCGGCCGCAAAAAGCCACGCGCCCGGACCCACCGCCCCAAAAAAACCCCCGCCAAGCTCGGACCCCAACCCAGACACACTACGACGGCGCACGCTCCGCACCCATGCGCGGCCCTGCAGGAGAGGAGAGTATCGTGTAGAGAGAGAGAGAGACGAGAGAGAGGAGAGAGGGGGGGGAGGAGCCGAGGGAGGAGGAGTGACGAGAGACGAGACGAGAGAAGAGAGAGAGAGCGAGAGAGAGGAGAGCAGAGAGCCGAGAGACGAGAGAGAGCATCGAAGGGAGGAGAGATGGACGAGAGAGAGAGAGAGAAGAGGAGAGAGACGAGAGAGGAGACGACGGAGGAGAGAGGAGGAGGATGGAGAGGAAGGTCCGATGGAGAGAGCCATGAGCGAGGAGGAGAGAGAGAGAGAGAGAGAGAGAGAGAGAGAGAGAGAGGGAGAAGGAGGAAGAGAGGAGAGAGAGAGAGAGAGAGAGAGAATGAGAGGTCTGCAAACAGTACGCCCGGTAGACCCACTGGACTGTGTGAAGTTGGCATAAGGATTTGAGTCTAGTATCGGATGAAGGGGTGTGGAGAAGAGAGGACTGAAAGACGTGAGAGAGGGATAAAGAAGAAAAGGAGGAAGGGGGAGAAAGCAAAAGTGTATAAAGAAGAGAGGTTGAGGTTGGTTAGAAAGAGGCGAGGTCGCACCAGCCCCTGGGGACGCCTGAAAACGGGGAGAGGAGTAAGAAAGAGAGGAGGAGAGAAAGCCAAGTGTTATAAAGAAAGGAGGTATAAGAGAGGGACTGAAAGACGAGAGAGGGAGTGCATAAGGGAACAAGAGAGGAAGGGAGAGAAAGAGCAAGTGCTTATAAGAAAGCGGTAAAGAGAGGGGACTGAAAGACCGAGAGAGGGATAAGGAAGAGAGGAAGGGAGAGAGAAAGCAAGTAGTTATAAAGAAAGGGTATAAGAGGGGAACTGAAAGACGATGAGAGGGATGGAAAGAGAGGAAGGTGAGAGAAAGCAAGGTCATAAGAAAAGCGGTTTGAAAGCAGGAGGACACTAAAAGACACAGAAGGGGGTAGGAGAAGAGAGGAAGGAGAGGGAAAAGCAAGTGTTATCAGAAACGGTATGTGTTCCCTCCTCCGTTTCCACATGAACGACCCTACACCACTTCGACAGCATAAAGAGAAGGTTTGGTAAAAAGAAAGTGGAAAAATTATAGCCAACGTAATATATGAAAGAATAATGATAATCATAATCATGATGAATTGCATAGTAATAATGAGTAAGAAAATGGTCTAATAGTAAGTACATAAATAACAATAAATATATATAAACTAGTATTAGGAATAATAATGGATAAAAATAATGACACATTAGTTATGAATATATAAATGGCGGTGACATGTATCAAGCTGGCAATAATAATTTAATAACAAACGATACATGAACAATTACATAACGAGACAGTAATAGCAGAAATAATAACACTCATAATCATGATAATTATAATATCATCACCTTCCCAACTTAAAGGATACGTACAGTCATCGTTAAGGAAATGATCCGCGAATTCGTCAAGTGTCCCGATGAACTCCTGAGCCCTGAGGAGCCTGTGGTGGTGCAGGTAGGAGACCAGCATGTCCTTGGGGTTCCTGGCGACGTAGATCACCTGGAAACGTGGGCCTGGTGGGGGTGATTCCGTGGTCTTACGTTTTGTGTTTATGGATCGTGGGTTTGTGTTATTTCTCGTGGTTTGTTTTTTCTGATCCTTCGGTGTCTGTTGAACCAGTGTGGGACCTGACTTTGTCTTTTTTTCTTTTTTTTTTTGTTTTGAGTCGCGGGCGGGGTGTCGCCTGTGTGAATCCTCTGTTTGTTTGTTTGTTTGTTTGGTTTGTTTGTTTTGTGCGTTTTCTGATTCTCTTGATCCACTCTGGTTTTTTGCTCTTTCATTTCTCTTGTTTCTGTTTTTTTTTTTTTTTGTGACTCTCCTGAACAAGGTCTCTCTCTTTCTCTCACTCACTCTCTCTTCTCTGTCTCTCTCTCTCTCTTCTTCTCTGCTCTTCTTCTGTTCTCCTCTCGGCGCTCGGGTGCTCCTACCTCCTTCCGCTCCTCACGGCTCTCTCTCTCGTCTCTCCTCTCTCTCGTGCGTTCTCTCCTCCCTCTTGGTCCGCCAGCCTGCGCTTACCCGCTCCCTGATCTCTCGCCCCACGCATCCTCTCTCAGCTACCGTCGGCCATGTCGTCCTCTCGTCTCGCTCCCTGTTTTCCTCTCTCCTCCGTCTCCCTTCCCGTTCACCTCTCTGCTCCCCCTCTCGCCTCTCTCCCCTCTCCCTCTCTTCCCGTCCCATCTGCCCCTCCTCCTTCATCTCACCTTTCTCTCTCTCTCTGCTCTCTCCTCTCGCTCTCTCCCTTCCTCCTCTCTCCTCTCTCTCTGCTCCTCTCTGTTCCTTTCTCTCTCCTCTCTCTCTCTGTCTCCCCTCTCCTCGCCTCTCCTCCCTCTCTCCTCTCCCGCTCTCTCTCTCTTCCCTCGGCTCTCGCTCCCTTGCTTCTCCCTCTCTCGTCTGCTCACCTTCGTCCACTCCTCTCGCTCCCATCTCTCTCTCTCTCTCTCCTCCTCTCTCTCGTCTCTCTCTCTCTACCTCTCTCTCTCTCTCTGCTCTCTCTCTCTCTTCTCTCTCTCTCTCTCCTCTCCTCCTCTCTCTCTCCCCCTCCCTCTCCTCCCCTCTCTCCCCTCTCTCCCTCCCTCTCCCTCTCCTCGCTCTCTCTCCCTCTCTCTCTCTCTGCCCTCTCTCTCCTCTTCTCCTCTCTCCTCCCTCTCTCTGCTACTCCCTCCTCCTCTCCCTCCTCTACATCTCTCCTCTCTCTCCCTCTCTTCCCTCTCTCTCTCCTCTCCCTCTCTCTCTCACCCCTCTCTCTCTCCCCCTCTCTCTCTCTCTCTCTCTCCTCTCTCTCTCCTCTCTCTCTCTCTCTCTCTTCTCTCTCTCTCTCTCTCTCTCTTTCTCTCTGTTCATTTATTTTTCTTCTCTCTTCATAGAGACAGTAACAAACAAACCAATTTACTTCTCGCAGAAAGATAACCACCTAATATCTTTAAAAATCAATAAACACCAACAAAAAAAAAGAAATTATCAGAATAAGGCAGATGACCCAATGACCTTTGACTTCTCCAAGAGGTCAGGGAGGAAGAGGGAGAAGGGGAGGTGCGTCTTCAGGGTCCGAGGGTCAGGGATGGCACGCGACAGTTGGAGGTTGAAGGGTCCTCGGAGGTCGCCCTCGGGACAGTACTTCAGGAACGCACTGGAGGAGACGATTTCCATGCCCTCTGGCGGGTGCTTCGGGAAGAACAGGTCGAATCTGGAGGGGAAAAAATAGGGGGTTGGGGGTCTTTTGGGGTCGTTTCGTCTCTTTATATGTCTCTGTCTCTTTCTTTCTGCCCATCTATTTTTTTCTTTATTTTTTTCATCTCTCTTTCTCGGTTTTGCTCACTCTTTCTCGCGGTCTTGCGTTCTCTCTCTCGCTGTCTCTTTCTCTCTCTTTCTCGCTTTCTTATCCGCTCTTTCTCTCTATCTATCTCTGTCTATCTATCTGTCTATCTTTCTCCTTCTAGCGATCTTGTTCTCTCTCTTCTCCCCCCCCCCCTCTCTCTTTCTCGTCTCCCTTCCTTGCTCCCGTCTCTTACCTCCCTCTTCCCCCTTCCCCCTCCCTCCTCCCTCCCCCCTCTCCCCCTTCAAACTCACTCTATGAAGGGCACTCGATCCATAACCGCCCAGTGAGGCTTCGGGGTTGTTCAGATCCGGGTTGTTCCTCATTGTCCACACGATCTCCTGTGTCCACGTTGTTCCACACTTCGGGTAGGTCATGATCAGGACGTCTTCTTTTTCGGAACTGAGAAGAGTGTGGTGATTTTTTTTTATTTTTTTTTTTTTTGGGGGAGGGGGGGTTGGGAGGAGGGGGGGGGGTTGGGTTGGGGGAGGTGGGGGGGGATAGTTTGGGAGTGGGGAGATTTTTTTTGGGGGGGGGGGTTGGGTTGGAGGGGGGATTTTTTTTGGGGGGGGAGTTGGGTTGGGAGGGTGGGTGATTTTTTTTTTTTTGGGGGGGGGTGGTGGGTTGGGGAGGTAGGGGTAAAGGGGGGATGTATTTGGGAGGTGGATTGATTTTTTTTTTTTTTTGGGGGGGGAGTGGATATTTTTGGAAGGAAAATTGAGTGTAAAGTTTAATTCTATTTTATTTTTTATCCTTTTCTCGGGGGGGGGCAGGGGAGTTGTTTTTTGGGGGGTGGGG